CGCCTCGCCCCGCCCCCTTCCCCGTCAGGATCTTTGCTAGAGACCGCCATTAGCTCCTCCCTCTTTGGTTCCTTAATTCTAGTGACAAGAGCTGCGCAGCACGATTACCTGAAGCAACTCAAGGCCTAGGCTGGTGGAACCCTTTTACATATTATCTCTTCCCCTGCCCCATCCTGTGTGAGTCTGATTATGCACGCTTCTGAAGGCGCACGCGGAGTCAAGAAAAAGGCTTTGAGTGTCCGTGTTCATCATTCTGTGCCTTATTACTTTCGAAATAAGGTCTATTATTGAGCCTGGGGTCACGTTTTCCGCCTAGGTTGGCGTCCAGGAAGCCCCAGAGATTCTCTTTTATCTGCCACCTGCATTTAAAGCAGTATAGTCTCATATAGCCTACACTAGCCTCACACTCTATGTATAACCTAGGCTGGCCTTGAAGTCACAGCAATCCTCTTGCCTTTGTTTCTCAAGTGCTGGTATTATGCGGGCGTCACGAGGCTTTTTTTTTGGGGGGGGGAGGCTAATCTGGAACTTAATATACAGACCAGGCTGGCCCCAAACTCACATCAATACACCCGCCTCTGCCTTCCAAGTGCTGAGATTTCAGGCATATGCCACCACTAATTCTGGTATTGTTTTAAAACTCAGTTTTATTGATTGTACTGTAGTATTTCCCCCAGTGAGCTGGGGAGGGAGTGGAAGGGGGACGGTCATCTACACAATAGAGTACTTTCCTAGCATTCATGTGGTAGCAAAATTAACGAATTTCTGCCCATGGGACATTTTTCTAAGTTGCCACTCCATAGTCATCCAGAGGGGACCTGAAAGGACTCACTCACCAATCGTGCTGCCTATCGTGTGCAGAAGGTCCATTGCTTTGAGTTTTCTGAGCAGTCACATCGGCAAACATAATTTAGGAGGGCCTGAGGACCTGGAGAGAAGACTGTTTTTGTTTCGCTTCCTGCTGCCGAGAAGGGGCCAGAGAATGAGCGAGCAAACCTCCTAACCCTGTTCTCTAAGTCCAGGAAACTGCTCGATGATAGACTACTGCTCGTCGGAGCGGGTGGCACCAACCACATTCAGGACCCCAAGGTGCTGTCCGCTCTGCAGAAGCACCACCCTTCTTGGGCGGGGAGGGCAGGAAGGTGGCCAGTTCCCAGACGGGGCGGAGCCCAGTCCGGCTTGTTGGGACAAGAGAGTTGGCTCTGGGGCTGGCCCTTTGGGTGGGTCTGGAAGCGGGCTTCCTCTTCACCCCATCCCAAATCCTTACCGTGGTTGGCGCTGCGATTCTGTGGAGTGTTTCAATCGGTTCAAGGTTGAGGCAGGCGTGGGACCAAGTTGGTCTACCAAGGTACGAGAATCCTGCGGGCTAGGGAAAGGGAGGATGTTCTCTACCTGGGGAGGGTCTTAAAGGGGGAAGGGACTTTTGATCCAGAACTAAGGCTGGCTTTGGAAGACTAGGATGGGGATTGAGCTGAAGACAGAAAGTCATTCTTTGCAATTCTTTCCCAGAGTTCTAGTGGTCTCAGTCTTCAGATGTAACTTGGCCAATGCAGAGCTTCACCAATGCTCGTTTGTATCCCAGAACAGGCACTGGTGCAAAGAGACGAAAATAAGCATGAGTGGCAGAGCAGGTGGCCAGAGAGAAACAAATATCAAGGCCAGCCAGGATGACACTAACAGAAACGCTGACATGGGCAGAACCAGGAAGATAGAACAAGACAGACAGGAAATTAACAGAGAGGAGAAAGTAACAAGGTGACTGAAAAAAGCAAGCAAACAGAAGCAGGGCCTCATGCTTCGGGATGTGACATGGACAGGGAGTACAGTAAAGGGCTGAGTCCCAAAGATATGGTTAGGCAGAGGTGAGCCTGAGACAAAGAAAACCCTGAGACAGACTCTCAAAGATGGGCTCCAGGAGCACCCAGTAAGGTTGAGGACAGTCTGGGACTACATAGTGACTTACAAGCCAGCCTTGGTTATAAATTAAGACCTGTATATGAAACAATCAAATGAAAACAGAAAGAAAGGTGGAAAAGAAAAGCACATAAAAAGTTACAAATAGAAACAGATGGGTTGGTATAATGACTCAGAAGATAAGAAAATTTACTGTCAAATTTGATGGCCTCAGTTTGATAGCTGGAACCCACTTGGTGAAAGAAAAAAAAAACATACTCCACTTAGAGGCATGCACGCATACATGCATACACAAACACACACAAATAAATGTTTTTTAAAGGAGCTGGGTGCTGGTGCATGCCTTTCTTTAATCGAAGCACTCGGGAGGCAGAGGCAGGTGGATCTCTGTGAGTTCGAGGCCAGACTAGTCTACAGATCAAGTTCCAAGACTGGCTCCATAGCTACTAAGAAACCCTGTCTTAAAAAAAAAAAAAAAATGGTTAACAAAAAAAAATTTTTAAAAAGGTTAAGAAGAAGAAAGAAATACCTGAAGAGGTTCATGTTTTATTTTCTAATATGTATAAGACAAACTGGACCTTACTGAATCTGGGACTATCTCTGCCTTAGCTAGGAAGGGGGGCTATGTGGAAAATGGTACACAGCAATTTATTTATTTATATTTTGAGACAGGGTTTCTCTGTGTATCCCCGGCTGCTTAGAGCTCAATCTGTAGACCAGGCTGGCCTAGAACTCAGCTATCCGCCTGCCTTTAGTTTGTGAGTGTTGAGATTACAGGCATGCGACAACACCACCCAGCTGCTTCTTGATATTTTGAGGAAGTTGGTTAAAAGAATAAGCTTATACCCTTATGCACTGTTAGTAGGAATATAAAATGGCACAACAGCTATGGAAAACATTGTGGTGTTCCTTAAAAATTAAAAATAAGCTGAGCAGTGGTGGCACATGCCTTTAATTGCAGCACTTGGGAGGGAGGCAAAGATAGGAGGATCTCTGTGAGTTCAAGGCCAGCCTGGTCTCCAGAGCGAGTTCCAGGACAGCCTCCAAAGCTACACAGAGAAACCCTGTCTCAAAAACAAAAGCAAAACAAAAATGACACAAGAGAAATTAAAAATAAAACTATAATATGAACCAGCAGTTCTGCTTTAGGAAATTAAGGTGCTTGCTTTACTCAAAATGGCTGAGCTAGAGTGTGATTCAGATGATACAGTGCTTGCCTAGTTATGAGACTTACATAGTATAGCTTACATAGTATAGCCTTCCCTACATAGCCAACATGTGAGGCCCTGGGTTCTATCCCAAGCACTCCATAAGCCAAGCTTGGTGGTATACACCTGTAATTCCTGTGTGGGTGAGGTAGAGGGAGGAGAATCAGAAGAAGTTCAAGGTCATCTTGCCACAAAAAAAAAAAAACAAGCAAACAAAACAATGCAGGGTTAGGGATATAGCTCAGTAGTAGAGCACTTCCCTAACATGTGTAAGGCCTCATCTTCAGTCCCCAGTACCCCACATAAAAAAATTAAAAAAGAGCCAGTCAGTGAGCCTGGCATTGGTGGCTCATGCCTTTAATCCCAGCACTTGGGAGGCAGAAGCAGGTGGACCTCTGTGAGTTTGAGGCCAGACTGGTCTATAAAAGGAGTTCCAGGACAACTAAGACTGTTACACAGAGAAACCCTGTCTCAAAAACAAAAAACAGCTGGGCATTGGTGGCACACCCTTTAATCCCAGCGCTTGGGAGGCAGAGTCAGATGGATGTCTGAGTTTGAGGCCAGCCTGGTCTACAGAGTGAGTGCCAGGACAGCGTCCAAAGCCACAGAGAAACCCTGTCTCGAAAAATAAAAACAAACAACAACAAAACTTGTGATCCTCTTACCTTCATCTCCCAGATGCTGGAATTATAAGAGTATGCTACCACACTTAGCCTTGTTTTTGTTTTTTGAAAGACAGGGTCTCAGGACCAGAGAGTGCTCAATAGCAAGTATTTCTCTACCATGCGTAGAAAGTTTTATGCCAAACCACATGTATCTTACACTTCCCAGGAAAAGATGCCAGAAACATTCAGGGCCAGAAGCAGGGAGAACACCAATTAGCCGAGATCAGCTGCAGTGCCAATGCACTCTGAACAACCCGGATTCCTTTGGAGGGCTCCTGATGCCATATATGGCCATGCATGGGCTTACTGTGGCTCTCCTGCTCATCTTCCTGGCTGGTGGGACTGAAGCCTTTCGTATCTGTGCCTTCAATGCCCAAAGACTGACATTGAGCAAGTTGGCCAAGGAGCCAGTGATGGATACCTTAGTTCAAGTAAGTTAAATTCATTGTTGCAGAAATCTGTGTGCTGCCAGGCATTGGTGGAGCACACCTTTAGTCCCAGCATTCGGGAGGCAGAGGCAGGTGGATCTCTGTGAGTTGGAGACCAGCCTGATCTACACTAGTTCCAGGACAGCCTCCAAAGTTACAGAGAAACACTGTCTCAAAAAACAAAAAAAAAGAAAGGAAAGAAAAAAGAAAAAAGGAAGAAAAGAAAAGAAATCTGTGTGCCTTGACCAAAAGCCCTCAGCTCTGCCTGACCAGGGACATGCACTAAAAAGGGGAGGGGGATATCTGGAAATGTGAGTGCACAGATGTGAAGTATCCTTCAACTATCATTTAATAACCAACCTCATCCTCTAAAAGCAATGGCCAAGGTATAATAGAATGATGCTCTTTGTTTTCCTGGGATCCTCCTAGTCCCACTGCTGTCTTTGGCCACCCTGGCACCAGTCTTTACATATGTTAACCCCTCCATAGTGATAACTTTGAATTGAGCTGTTATCCCTCATTCCCTGCAGATCCTGGCTCGATGTGATATCATGGTGCTTCAGGAGGTGGTGGATTCTTCCCAGAAAACTGTCTCTCTTCTGCTTCGAGAACTTAATAGGTAAAGAAGGGTCTGTTAATCTAATCTGGGTTCTACCCAGAGCCTCAAGGACCCTGACTCTGGATTCTTTTTCTGGCAGATTTGACAGTTCCAGGACTTACAGCTTCCTAAACAGCTCCCTGCTAGGGCGCAGCACATACAAGGAGAAGTATGTGTATATCTACCGGTGAGTACAGGGGTTGGATTCTATCCTCATAAAGACAATTCTAGCTGGTCCTGGTGGTTTGAAGACCCACTAGTCTATTCAAGAGACTAAATTAGATAAAACAATTGCTGGAGTCCATGAGTTCAAGACTAGCTGGGCAATAATGAAAATGGATCTCAAAAAAACTCATGAAAGTTCTAGGTACAGCTGGAGAGATGATTCCGTGTTTTAAGAGCACTTGCTGCTCTCTCAGAGGACTAGGGTTTAATCCCAGTACACATACAATAGCATACAATCATTATTAACTCCAGTTCCAGGGAATTGGACACCCTCTTCTGGCCTCTGCAGACCCATGGTCCACAGACATACATGGAGGCAAAACACTCATACAGATAAAATAAAATTAAATCTTAACAAAAACAAAAATAGTTCTAGGGAGCTGAAGACATCACTCAGTGGCAGGGTACACATTTATCCCTGGTAATTAAAAAACAACAACAACAAAAACCCTCCAAGCTAGAAGTAGTGGTATATGCCTTTAATCCCAACACTCAGAGGCAGACAGGTGGATCTCTGTGAGTTCACGGTCAGCCTAGTCTAGAGAGTTCCAGGACACCCAGGGCTACATAATAGAGAAACCCTGTCAAAAAAGTAAGTAAAAAGAAAAAAGAAACTGGGCATTGATGGCACACGCCTTTAATCCTCTTTGTGAGTTTGAGACCAGCCTGGTCTACAGAGTGAGTTCCAGGACAGCCTCCAAAGCTAGAGAGAAACCCTGTCTCGAAAAGACAAAAAAACAAAAACAAAAACAAAACCCCAGAAGTTCTAGAAAATAAGGTTGTACCCACATGAAACTGGCAGAACTAGGAACCAGGAATGTTCCTCCTTGAGCACTAGCTCTGCTGTTCTCACATAATACTTGGGGCCACTGCTTCCCACCCCTTGGTTTTTATAGGTCTGACAAGACACAGATTCTGAATTCCTACCAGTACAATGACACAAATGACCTTTTTGCCCGAGAACCTTTTGTGGCCCAGTTCGCTCTCCCTAGCAAAAGTAAGAGGGGAAGAAAGGTGGGTCTGGTACATGCAAACAGGAGAGGGAGGTTTGGCTGGCTTTCCTGTGGGTTGGTTCCTAGGGGAAGTGGAAGTGGATGTGAAGAGCTGACAGCTATGGCAGCTTCAACTTCCTGGGCCTTGCAGTCCTTCCAAGTGTGGTACTGGTTCCACTCCACACTACACCCAAGGATGTAGAGAAGGAGCTGAATGCCCTATATGATGTGTTTCTGGATGTCTCCCAACGCTGGCAAAATGAGGTAGGGATGATAGCTTGCACAGGAGAGGGTTTGGTGGGATTGCCCTGTGGCAAAATCCAATCACTTGTTTAACCTTTAGGATGTGATCCTGCTTGGGGACTTCAATGCTGACTGTGCATCACTGACTAAAAAGCGTCTCAACAGCCTGCTCCTTCGGACTGAGGCAGGCTTCCACTGGGTGATTTCTGATGGGGAGGACACTACAGTGCGGGCCAGCACCAACTGTACCTACGATCGGATTGTGATGCATGGGCAGGGCTGTCAGACCCTGCTGAGGGCTGCAGCACCCTTCAACTTCCCCAGGAGCTTTCAGCTGACTGAGGAAGAGGTAAAGAAGCTGGGTTAACATAAGGGCTTATTCAATGGCTGAGGGCAGAATTGTGGAGGTGAGTTGACAGGAAAGCCCCTCAGCCCCAGGAACTGACACTTCATCTTGCTGTCCCTCCCAAGGCTCTCAGCATCAGTGACCATTATCCTGTGGAGGTGGAGCTGAGTCAGGCAACTCACAACATTCAACTCTTCAGTTTGGCCATTCTGCTCCTGCTGTCACTTTTGCCATCTCAACTGAGCTAGGTGGCTTAACACCTTTTGTACCTTATGGACAATGACTTAAAACACTGGCATCTCCTGAAGCCAAGCAAGATCTGAATGGTTTCAACTACAGCCTTCCCTTTCTTTTTATGTAGGCTTTCTGCTGCTTATTATTCCAAGAGGAAGACAGGGCTACCAGTGTTATTTCCTATTATATCCAATACCGTGGGTTTTGGTGCATTTGGAATAGATACAACTTGTCACTTCAAGCCATTCCACCTTAGACACAGAGACAAAGCAGGCTCCAGGGCTCTCTGCAACACACATTTAGAGCCAGACAGAACATGTATTCCAGATACCTTATAATAGAAAATGAGCTCACCGGCCGGGTGTTGGTGGCACATGCCTTTAAACTAATCCCAGCACTTGGGAGGCAGAGGCAGGTGGTTCAAGACCAGCCTGTTCTCCAGAGTGCCAGGATAGGCTCCAAAGCTACAGAGAAACCTGGTCTCAAAAAACCAAAAAGAAAAAAAAAGAAAACGAGCTCACCAAAATATGCTCACTTGGGAGACATGAACTCTTTAAAAACCCTCTACCACCAGCTTACAAAAAGCTCTGGTAGATTGTAGCATTGTCACCACAGGTTTACTTCAAAATTTTTAGCTCCAAACAATCATGTTATTCCAATGATTAAACTATATGGGCCAGCCTTCTCTCTGGACCACATATCCCTGATACATTTGCTCTGTACTTATGAACATGGCTCTGCTAGAGATGTCAGGTTTAAAATGTTCCAATAAAATCACCAGTTGTAACTCTTTGCAGGCTCAGTTCACTAAGTTGCCCTGTATAACCAAACCATAAAACCCCATATTAATAATCAGATACAACCGGCTGGGCGTTGGTGGTACACACCTTTAATCCCAGCACTCAGGAGGCAGGCGGATCTGAGTTCTAAGCCAGCCTGGTCTCCAGAGCAAGTGCTAGGATAGGCTCCAAAGCTACACAGAGAAACCCTGTCTCGAACCCCCCCCCCCAAAATCAGATACACACAAGCAGTGGTGGCACCCGCCTTTAATCCTAACACTCACATCTCTGAGTTCCAGGAGCCTCCAAGGACACAGCGAAACCCGGTCTTGAAAAAGCAAAAAACAAAAAAAAAACAAACAACCCAGCACTTGGTCAACAAATTGAGTTCCAAGACAACCAGGGCTGTTACACAGAAACCCGGTTTTGAAAAACAAAACTAAAAATCAGATACAAACATGTAAGCAGACTGGATGAGATTTATTACTGAACATGATTTGGTAGGGTACAGGAGAGCACTGTGGAAGCTCTCAGGAGTGCAGGGCTCGCCACTTGTCCAGGGGACCACGATTGGGGATATATTGGCCCCCACCGCCATCAGGAATGAGCCGTTTCTCAGCAACCATGTCTTCAAATTCATCTGCATTAAACTTGGTGAAGCCCCATTTCTTTGAGATGTGGATCTAGAGGGAGACAGAAGAAAAAAAAGTCAATGAGATCAGAGAAAGAAAACAGAAGGGAAGTTAATAAATAATGTCACCTACCTTCTGGCGGCCAGGGAACTTGAACTTTGCTCTACGAAGAGCCTCAATCACATGTTCTTTATTCTGCAGCTTGGTGCGGATGGACATGATGACCTGGCCAATGTGAACCCTGGCCACTGTGCCCTGGGGCTTCCCAAAGGCACCACGCATACCCGTCTGGAGCCTAGATTGGGGATATCATTGAGATCAGAAACTTGAGCAACTGAGAAAATTGTCTCCAAGGTCCCTTAGGGCAGCCCATATAGGCGATAGGCTGCATACACTACCAAGGAGGCTGCTGTTTGCAACCATTGCACACCAGGCTCCCATGGGGAAAGGAACCTGATCGGCTTAATTAGCTGCAAATAAAATCCCAAAATTCTCCAAATACAGAGAAACCCCGTCTGGAAAAACAAAACAGAAACCATGCATGATGATCGTCATAATCAGAAGAGTACGAACAGCACAAAAGTTTTCTTCTCTACTTTAGGGCCTTAGTTGCATGCCTGTGAACGACTAGTGTGCCTGGTGCTCTCAGAAGCACGGAATCCCCTAGAATTGTAGTTAGAGATGGTTGTGAGCCACCACATGGATTTAAGAATTGAACAGTTCCTCAAGAGCAAGTGCTCCTAGCTAGAGCTGAGCAATCTTTCCAACCTATCGGTCTTGACTGGTGAAAAAAAAACACACATTATATGTCACAAATTATGCAAAAGGGTGCTAACTGCCAGCTTACCTGTCAGCTCCAGCACAGGACAACATCTTATTGATTCGGATGACATGGAAAGGGTGGAGCCTCACTCGAATATGAAAGCCATCCTTGCCACAACTCTTTACCATGTATTTGTTGGCACAAATACGGGCCGCCTCTAGAGCTGAGTGGGGAGAAAAACAGCAGTGAAAACAGGATAGTGTAGAGGTAGGTCCAGAGATGGAGGTCATGTTAGTGGAATAAATCACATAGAAAATCTCAAACTAATGAAGTGGCTACTACCATACAGACTACACAGGAAGAAATGTTGATCAACAAAAGGGTCCTCACCTTCGGAAGAGAGCTGCTCATATTCATCTGACACCATGTGCCCACAAAGTGGGAATTCATCAACCTTTGCCTTCTTCCGTCCCAAATCAAAGATGCGAATTTTAGCATCTGAAAAACACAAACACGTGGTACTAAGTGCCCGTGGAGTGGGAATCAGACAGCACCACAGATCCACATTTGCAGTTTTGTCATTACTTACCAGGGACACCTCGGCAGAAGCGAGACTTTGGGTACGGCTTGTTCTTACAATATCGGTAACTGCAGGAGCAAGAAAAGTCAGGTGTAACAAGAGTGGCAACTAAACACAGCAAGCTTTACGTAGTGGCAAAGGGACAAGACCAAGTCTGAATTCATTCGGTTAGTAAAAACTGACTCTAAGGCAACTAAACAGATTGCCACATAAGACACATTAAACAAAAACCAATCACCAGTATCAACCCTTCATCAGAGTAGGGTGAGATAGCACAATTTTTCCTTAAGACTTCAGAGCATGTGACATAAAACCCGCCTCAGCCACGTGAAGAGAATATGGCGCCCTCTGCAGGGCATGCAGCTAGGTGATGCCTAAAATGGCTTGGCGGGCCGTTGGTGTCCGGTTGAAACCACAAAGCACACGACTCAGAAATAACAAAGACAGATACAGAAGTCACTAAAAAGGCATGGGAGTCTTTATGACAAGGTTCATTTGAGAAGACAGAAGGTTGAGTGCATACGCACATGTTTCTTGCTCTACAAAATAGGCTACAAAGTAGTCGTTGGTTGGTTAACCAATCCACAAGCTTGAAAAGACAAAGCCCCCAGTGAAGTAGTAAAGTAAATCTGGGGCCAGTTTTTAGCTCAGCGTCGCTGAATGACGAGGAGTCCAACTCCCAAAAAATGTCTTTGAGAAGAAATGCAATTATTTCCTCCGTTTTTACAATAGAAATAGTATGGATTTAGCACTCACCACCGGGCAGGGCGGCGACCCATGATGACAATAGGATAGTCGGTGGCTGTAATGAAACGTTCAAAGTAAGAATATAGACCCAGAATCCCAAAGAACGACGAAACCACTGAACACCATTAAGCAACCGAACACACTCACCGCACCGGAGGAAAAGAGACGCTCCCACGCCTGCGCATGCTTTATATAGGCGGCCCATCTTCCAGCGTAGGTACCATAGAGTCTCAGCCTTAGGGTAGTGTAGACGCTCTATCAGACGCTAGGATCATAGATGCAGCGGCGCTCTGCGCATGTGTAGCAGGCCGGCACGAAACATGCGCAGAGCGCTTTGGTGACGGGACACCGGTTTCCGGCGACGTGCTAGCGAATGGGGTTTCGACACATAGGCAAGAGAAAGCGGCTTCCGTCTGGCCATTTGGGGCGGGGCATTGACAGACTTTGCTGTGACTAATATTCTAACAATATTCTAAGACTTGAAAAGAGGAGTTTTTCTCAGTAGAACTGGGTGATCACGCAGGTGTTCACTAGCTTAATGGGACTCCAGAATATTGGTTCAGGATTTCCTCAAGGCTACAGGAAATGGCGCGAAGGCGCCATGCTAGGAACTCGGATTTCCTTTGTCAGCAGGGAGGTTGGGTCCGGAGACCCACCCACAACGCTTCTACCTACACGGAAGAGCCTACAAAGAGCACCATGATAGGCTCTTGGTTGCCCTCTAGAGGCCGACAAGAAGCTTGTGTAGGCGATTGCCGTCGTCATCACTAGTTGGGCCCTCCCCACTGTCTCTAAACTCTCGGGAAAAGATAATTTATGTTCTCAAGGAGATTGTAAACTGGGCAAAAACAGTGG